CCCCAAAACCCCAAAACCCCAAAACCCCAAAACCCCAAAACCCCATCGGCAATTACTCTTGAATTTAAAAGAGAGTGCAAAATTATTAAAGTTAAATTATTCTAAAATGTTAGCACCAAGTATAGTTTCAGCAGGCTTCAGTCATAGTGCTGTAATTAACACTAAAGGTAATCTTTATGTGTGGGGTGACAACAAAAATCAACAGCTAACAACTACTTTTAAGGACCAGGTAAGATTATTAATTAGAAATATATTAACTTGGTACAGCCCTAAGTCGATAGGCCTAGTTAAATCAGATTGAAGTATAAGACTTAAGAATATAAGGCAAAGAGTGTCGTATGCGGGCCAAACTTTACCTTTGTGTTAGCAAGCAATAAGCAAAAACAATAAATCAACCTTGATGAAGATGAACAAGAGATATTAAACCCCCTGAAGGAAATTCTCAAAAGAAAGGGAACATTGGCTGGATTTTTCGGACTGATAGGGAAGAAGCGTTCAAAATATTCGAGTAAGCAATAAGACATTGACCCCCATGGAAAGGGCTAAATGCATAGCTTTCTAAACTAAGAGAGCGAGTCTGAACAAGAACAAGACGAGGATGAAGTCTTAAAAACTGAAGAAGCTGAGGTGCTTCATGTTAGCAGAAATTAATTTATTGATAGCATAGAGAGAGCTCAGTTCACTCAGAAGAAAAACAGAATCCACTTTCTGGCTGATAGGCTAATAGAAGAAAGAAAAGACATTGGCGAGAATATTTTACTTGGAGATATTGAAGATTATGCTCTTGGATTTAGATAAGGTGCAACTAAAGTATTTGCTTTTGGCTAAGGACATAAAAGGATATTTGCTTTTTAAAAGAAACTTGATGATATGTAATCAGAAGATGGACATTCTGATGTAGATTAAGATGATGATAATTATAGATAAAAGCATCTCTAGAAGTAATATTTGAATGAGGTTATTATAATTGCCAGACCTACAGCCATAAAATTTCCAAAGCACTCCAGACCTATTGTTTAAATTGCTTGTGGTTCGGCTCATATATTAGCAATAACTGAGAATTTAGAATTATACTCGTGGGGATTTGGATAATACGGAGCTCTTGGATTTGGAACTAGAGATGATGTCATAGAACCTAGATTATTAGTTATTGAAAAAAACGATTAGATATACTCTATTGTTGGAGTTGCTTGTGGAAAATATCATTCACTATGTGTGACTGACAAGAAAAAAGTATTATCTTGGGGAATGGGGTAAGGTGGAAGACTTGGACAAGGCGATGAAGAGGATATATTAATTCCAAAAGACATTCATGAACTTTCAAAGAAGAAAATAATATATGTTTCTGCTGGAGAGAGCCATTCAGCTGCAATCACTGAAAAGTTGTAGCTGTATACATGGGGAAATGGAACTTACGGAAGATTAGGCCACGGATTAGACATCAATGAGAAAAAACCCAAATTGGTTGAAGATTTAGATCAGAGTGAAGTTATTCATGTCTCGTGTGGGGCTTTTCATACATTAGTAGTAACTGGGCAAGGCTTTGTATACGCTTTTGGTTAAAATAAATATGGCAAACTCGGAATAAATAGAAAACAAAGAGAAGGGATATTTGCGAGACCGGACAGAATAAGTTTCTACAAATTTTCAACTGAGCAATAAGATATGCTCGTTCAAGACAAGAATGAAGCTTTGCTTATATCTGCTGGTTATAATCATTCAATATGCTTGTCCAGATCAGGAAAAATATATTCCTGGGGTTACAATGGAAAGGGTATTTTAGGAAGATAAAAAGGCTTTGAAGAGCACATACCACTAGAAATTGGCTAAATACCTGGAGAAATTTTAGCGAAACTTCCCAACGTGGATGAAATCATATAAAGAGGAGACTAGAAGTAAGAAGAATTATTTTCATATGAGATTATCTAAGTAGCAGTAATAAAATTTAATCTTAATTTCATAAATCAAACTATAGTGTGGATCTCTGAATACTGTTTCATTAACTAATGGAGGAGAAGTCTATGTATTTGGAAGTAATGCATACGGACAGCTTGGAAAAGATAAGGAACATGGACAAAATAAGAAATAAAGAAGACAAGATCAAGATTAAAATGACATGTAGAATATGAATGAGATTTCAGAGCATATGGCTTTGATCAGATTTCCAGGAGAGTCGACTGTGAGAATCAATTACATTGCTTGTGGAGGTGAGCATATATTTGCCATATCAAGAATGAATGAACTATTTGGATGGGGAAAAAATGATGAAGGCTAAATAGGATTAGGGTTTGTGAGTGACTTACTATCTGAACCAGCTTTGATTAAGGATATAGCTCATAAAAATATATAAATGATTGGCTGTGGAGATAATTATTCAGCGGCAGTTTCAGCTTTTGGAGAAGTAATTAGTAATAATATTTATACTTTTATAGGTGTTTGTTACAGGAAATTTAGAGGGAGGAAAGCTAGGTCTAGGGTAAGCAATGAAAAAAGGGTTTATCCTCAATTTTACCTTGATATAAGGACTTGCTCCCATTAAATTTATAGCATGTGGTCCAAATCACATGCTTGCCATTTCCGAGTATAATCCAGATGAAAATGAGATCAAGGATGGAATGTGCTATGCTTGGGGCAAAAATTATAAGGGGCAACTTGGTATAGGGTCTAAAGAAGACTCTAATGTACCTAGAAAAATTACTAATGCAAAGGAAAGATTCAAAAAAGTAGCCTGCGGTTATGATTTCTCGATTGGACTCTCTATTAACAATCAGATTTATATGTGGGGGAATAGCAAATATTACTGTGACTCAAAGGTAGTTAAAGACATAGAAATTCCTTAGCTGTTGTAATCAATGGACACTGCCTAAATCAAAGATATAACTTGCTCCTATAAGTATTGTACTGCTCTAAATGACAAAGGTGAAATAATGATATGGGGCTAGTTCTTAATTGACAAAATGAAACAGAAAGCTAAGAAAGGAAAAGGATAGACTGTGTCAAACTATACTGTTCAAAAGTTCCCAATGAGAAAGTTTGATTTTTTGATGGAATCATTAAGTACTGGGCCAAATCACTCTGCAGCAGTCAGTGTGAAAAAATCATTATACTCATGGGGTCACCCAGAAGGAGGAAGATTAGGATTGAGTGAAAAAGAATTCAAAAATGCTAAATTAGAGCCTATCTTAGTCCAAAATATTCATGATTTAATGCAGAAAAATAGGCAAAACCTAAAAGAAGGAAGAGGAGGTGCTGATGAAGACATAAAAACTATTTAATTTGACCAAAACAATGAAATGATTTAAGAAGAGCAGAAGCATAACATGAATAATATGGAGGAAAAGAAATAGTAGGAGAAATATGTCTTAAAAGATGACTATGACCAGAGAATAGATTCTCAATAAAATGAGGAAAATAAGCATGGTGAATTTGGATAAAATGCAGAAGAGGAAGAAGATGCAATTGGAGATATTGATGATATAGAAAACTAAATCATTCAAGAATAAGAAGTTCCTCTAGAGAAGCTGAATCTTGTCTCACTTTCAAGATAGCAGAGCCTTGTTGAATCGCATATATTGCTTTAGAAAATCCTTAAGAAAGAGAGGGCTGACCAATTAGATGAAAATTATATCTTGAAGTACGATGATGAACTGATGAAAGAAATTGACATGCTTCTAACTTAATTTAAACAGTATAAGAGTTTAGAAAAGGAAAGGCAAAATATTTTAACTCAAATAGAAAGTGCATTTCTAACTAGAATAAACGAGACGCCATTTTTAATATAGCCTAGACAGATTTAAGATGCAGTAGAATAGAAAATTCAAAGTTTTAAGAAATAGATTAAACAATTCTTGACCATTTTACACATCCACCCCTGCTACCTTATAAAGCTATACTCTTCTTAATTGATACAATAAAAAGAGTACCAAAGATTTTTCAAGGAAATATACTCTTATCAAAATGAGAGAGTTAACTATCTGTAAATGGCAGCTTGTTAAGGTATCATAGAATATGAAATCAAAGGCTGTAAAAGTTTAGAGGAAGTTAATTTTCTAAGCAAAGATTCGGTGGTTGGAAAAATAGTAAAACTAATTTTTAAATCATAGGAGACAAACATTGACACAGTATGCTCACTAGCTTGTCACGTAATAAAGTAATTTTGAATCTATAATATCTAACTTTATTAGTAAGTTGTTGAATAAGTTCAGTTCAAGTTCAACTAACAGCTAAGATAATTCATTTGATGTAACTGAAAGATTAAATAAGAATTCCAAATAGTTCGAAGTTGATAAAGTTGGAAAAGTAAACTTTAATGAATTGTCTTAAGACTTTTTAGATCAATATCCTCCCAAAAAGAGCAAAAGATCTATTCTCATTTATTGAAGAGGTTATCAAAGACTTAATGGAGAATGAAGTTTTGTATCCCTAGTCATCCTATTTTATTCCTAAAAAGTAGCATGTTGATGATATCAATTACAAGAAATCTCTGGCTATTCAAGGCTAGGAGTAGTTATAGAAATTAGAAAGTTTAAGATTCAGTCCGGAAATATCATATTTAGCTGAGTTAATATCTAAAAAATTAAGAGAAATACCTAGCAAGGGAGCTGTAGATGATTAGATAAATTCAAAGATTCTTTCTTTGATATTTGGAATGATAGACAAAGTTTGGAAGAACTACGAAATATATCTATTTCCGTACATAAAAACAGTTAAAGGGCTTTCAATCATTGAAGATGTGATTAATAAGACTCATTTCAACAATCTAGAAAATATATTTTCAGTTTTCAACTGCTTCTTTAGGAACGAATCTGCATTCCCAGAATTCATACAGTCTGATCAATGGTGTAAAGATTTCAACTTAAAATTGATACATCTTCAATAATCCACTAAAGGTATTATATTAACTCGGATTATTGATAAGAATCCTATGAAGCAAATTAGTTTCAAAAATTTTGAAAACCTAATCTTGCATTCGCTGGAGAGTGAAGGGCATACTATTACAATAAGAAATAAGTCACTAGGAAAGATGATAAACTTATTTAAGGAAAATAGCAATAAACTATCATAAGTGTAGCCAGTTACTAATGACCCACTATATTAAGTCTTAGATAAAATATCTGATGATTACAAAACTTTGATAAAATGTAAAAAGTATGAAAAAACAAACTTTAAGCTTAAAACAAGACTTCTAATTGAAGACGATAATATGATAGCAAGTAGATGCAATAGGTGTAATGTAATCTTAATATAAAAGTATGCACCACCTGAAAGTGTATCTATTCTTGAAAAATATAATCCTGAAGATTCTTAGTCACTAGTTGTTCAGTATTGCAATATCTTAAAGCAAATTCAAGACATTAATAAAACTGAAAGCATCACTGAGTATATTGAGAAAATCTACAATCATGCTAAGAGAAATGCAGCCTTCGATCTTGCAAATAGAATGCTAAAGTTCCTTAATTAGGTGGAACAAGAAGTTCAAAATGTCCTAACTAAGAATTCTACAAACTAATAAATTGGAGCACAGGAACATAGTGAGACTAAAATCAAAGAGTAGATATATCTCGAGATTTAGAAATTGGCTGAGATAAAGATAAACGAGAGAAGAACTAGGAAATATGATTTAACTCTAATTCAGAGAAGAATCTAAAATGTCCTGAAAAAGAAAATCTAGGTCAAAGTTAAACAGATTTCAGAAAAGGAGATTATGCTTTATAAGGTTACTCTCTATAACATATAATATGGTTTAGCCAATCATGAGTTAAAGCATCTAGCAGATGCATATACACTTAAAAATATGAGAAGGACTATAGATTTCACAACAAGTTCTAAAATGAGTAAAAATCTGTTCAAGAATCTTAGAAATGAGCAAAAATTTGGTTTGAGAGCTATTGTGAAAAAGAGTGCAAAATCCTTGCTATAAAATCAAACCATTGTTGGACTCAAGCTAGCCTCTTTAAAGCCATTGATTAATAATTGTGAGTTCTTTTTTATTGAAGCAGAGGATTTGTCTATTACAGTTAAAATTGTCTACAGAGAATAAAAGTGGTCGATGTGCGGACCTCCAAAAATACTCTCAGAAGCTGTGCTACTAACTTTTTCAATTACTTAGAAACAACTTTTAGAATTAAGAAAAAACATTAAAAGTCCCGAGAATAAAAGATTGACGTTGGCTAACTCTTTTGAATTTGATAGCATTAAACTCTTGAGAATATTCAACGAAATGGATAGATCTAAATCAGCATATCTACTTAACTCTGGTGCGACTCCTTTAATACTATAGAAATAGATTGGGTAACAGCAAGAGGATGATGCTAGAGTATGATAAAAATGAGAATAATCTTAATTTCATAATTCATTTTCAATATAATATGACTATTATTCAGAAAGGGGTTTTGGGGTTTTGGGGTTTTGGGG